GTCTTCCATGCCCTAACTGCTTCTGTAGCAATTTGTGAGTATATAGCAGGATCATATGCAATTTTTTGCAGCGGACCCTCATAAGGTCCTTTTCCTAACAACATATCTAGATTTCTCTGAGGATAACCAGCTGCTACATTTCGCCTAGCCATCTCCATGCAAAATTCCTCATTGGCAACCTTCCATAACAGGTATTGTCCTCCATTTAGCACAGCCTTACACATACTAGTCCAATCTGCTGGCGTCATGTTCAAGTTGGTAATGGATTCGACCAAGCTTATAGTGAAGGGTGCTTGAGGACCATAGGTTGTTACAGCCTCTTTTAGCTGCTTCACTGTTTTGAAATCTAAAACATGGTGAATTCGCTGCCCTCCTGCCTGTTCAAATACAGGGCATGCTAATCTTTGAGGTCCTGTCTCAGGATCCCATCTATCAACTACGGGGGTTGAGGGCCCCATAGGCGGAGCTGTTGGTTGGACACTTACACCCTCTGGTGATAGAAAGGTTTTAGTAGCAGCCTCCTGTTGTAACTCTTCCCCTGATGGCTTTTTCTGCTCTAAACTTTCTTCCCCTTTCTGACTATCTTGAGAGGCCTTCTCTTTTTCCTGATCTAATATGTCTTCTACCATAATCTGAACTGAAAGCTTTGGACTAGGCATACAAAATCGTATCACCACCCACAATGGCAATGTGCCAACTGGCAGAGTTCCTGGGTTTTTCTTTTCCCTGTCCCTTAAATCTTCACCATGATGGTCCCATTGTGATATATTCAACAACTCCTCCTTAAAAAGCCATGGGCTACTTCTGTATTGTATCAACGTATGCCCTGACTGTTTTTGGTTTTACTGGGGTGCCTCCTTCCCCTAACAATTTACTTAACATTCTTTTGGTTTGTTTTTTGCTAATTTCTGACCCCATATTTCTGCTACAAGGATAACGCAACTCAAACAGATAACTCAAAACAAAACCAAAGCAAAATGAAACAAAAACTGAACAAAAAATCATATCAATTTTCCTATTTTTTTGAAATGTATATTTGTGGTCTATCTCTATCTCTTCCTCAGGGCGAACAACTTCAACCCTTGAGCCAACCATTTTTCCCAGTTTGCCTGAGAAAGTTCTAGGGATAGGCAGCTTGAAACAAAAACAAAACAAATCAAAACAAGAACACATTGTTTTTTGAAATGGTCACCCATTCTCTTGCCTTCCCTCAGGGGCGAGCAATTTCACTTACCTCCGAGCTTCAGGCGTTCCCCGCACGGGCCACCAAAAGCCGCAGTCTGGTTGGGCACAAATCACGAGCCACTCAAGCAGGAACAAACTTTATTTCCAATCTCCCGTGAATGCCATGCACGCGGCCTTCTCCCGGGACACACCACACACCAACCGGAAAATCCCTCCTCCGGCACTTCCCCAACCAACGCAAACTCCCCAGGAACCCCCGCGAGAACTCCAAAGTAGAGTGAGAACTCCAAAGTAGCTGGCACTTGAGGCGGACAGCAGGGGTCTAATATACAATTGAATACACAGCTTAACATAACCATCATCATCTTAATGGCTTACTGGCGTCACCTCTCAACCACTCCATTCTGGCAAAAATGCCATGCTTCATTCCGACTAGGCTATGGCTCCCAGCACCTTATAAAAGGAAAAGCAGATAGAGGTGCTGCCCCCATATTAATGGCTTTCATAAGGGTCACAGATAAGCATATAAAAATACAAAAGTTAAAAGTACTGATAAGAGTTAACAGAGCAGGTACATTTGAGAAGAAAGGATTAGACTTAGGAGGAATCTTTACATTATAAAATTGTTTTGTGTAGGCTGTGGTGGGACATGGCTGTAATCCCAGTGACTCAGGAAGTTGAGAAAAGAAGATCCCAAGTTCAATACCAGCCTCAGCAATTTGGCAAGGCCTTAAATAACTTAATGAAACCCTGTCTCAAAATAAAAAATAAAAAGGCCAGGGATGTGGCTTGGTTCAATCCCTTGTACCAAAAACAAACAAACAAAAAGTTTTAAAATGATATAGACAAAATAATTTTAGGCATATCCAACAGTGAGTACAGTTTGCTGTGTAAAACAACACGGAATTTTCAAGAAATTGTAAGCCAACTGGCCTGGATAAAGGAACTCCATGAGAGTTATAGGAACTGTGAACTGAGAATCCTTTTATGCTGTGCTAAATGAATTTTTGGCTTTCGTTCTAAGGCAAAGGAAGACCACTGAAAGTATCTTAAAAGGGTAGTTATGTGACCAGAACAGAGTTGAAGACATCTGCAGCAACAGTCGGAATGAAGCTTAAGGGAGAAGAGGAAAGGCAGGTAGACCAAGGTGTAAAAGTCACTGGTGTAAAAGTCTCACAAGCAACTTGACTTGGTAGCTGATTAGAAGTGGTGGCAAGATGAAGAGAAAGATTAGTGATTTTCTATTTCTTTCTTTTTCACTAAGACAACTGGAAGCACATTTTATATCATGACCTAACACACACACACACAACAACAACTTTACAAAAAAATAATTACTCTGTGTTTAATGCATTCTGGTATTTTCTATTTCCTTTCATTGAAAGGCTAATCACAATCAGATAAACTGATTTCATGATCACCAATCAATCCACAATGTGCTTCAACATTACTCTAAGATTTATTGCTATTTTTTTGGTACAACAGTTACAAACTGTTCTATTAAGAGTATCATAGATATATTTTTATATCTGTTAGATTGGATTTTCTTAACTTTTATTTTACAACAGTATCATACGATTTTAATTATTCTAGAATCTAGTAGGTTAAGTTTCTTGCTTTATTTATAATATTTCTTTTACATTCTCTTCTCAGATTAAAAATTTTTATGTTCATATTTTTGAAGAATATTTTAAACTGCATGAAATATCCTATTGTATTTATAAGGAAAGAAAGAGAACTGTTATCACATCTAATGACTAGCAGCCTTTCCCTAAGTTTCCAGCATTTAACATATGAATATAAAGGGTATGGTTTGTTCCACTAGCATTCTTGACAAATACTTTCATTTTATAATGTAACTATCACTTTAAAATGATTCCTTATTTGTTTCTTGTTCTTTTGTGTTTTAAATCTTTCTTTTCTAAGTGTGTATTATAAACAATGTAGGATGAGATTTTTGCTTTAATTTAGAGTATCACTTCTTGATTTATGTTATATATATTCACAATCACATAAAATTTGGTTATTTCACTTTTTATGCTCTTTCTATTTCTTATTTTCTTTTCTACCATTATATCAGAAAAAGAAATTGCAGGTTTGGTGGGAAGACAAAACATACACAACTTTTTGGGGAGCAGAAGTCAACTTACCCACTTTCTTTATATTACTCTCAACGACTTGCAATTTTGAAAGCCTGGATGGACAAAAACCTCTTCCCAGTCACTTTCTCTTCCATAAACCCTTCCATAAAAGGTGCTGCCTAGACTACCCATACCCACCAAAAATCGCATGAGAGAATTTTCCAAGTTAGAGACAGCTTATTGGAGGAAGGCTTAGAAAGCAGCCACACTGGAGGGGGCTATCTGGTACAATCACACTTAACACCCTTCCCACCCAAAAGACAACTGGCTTAGACCCTCACCTTTTTGAAGGCTTCCTCCACTAGTATGGTAGACTTTGCCAGAAGCTGTCTCCATCAGTGCAGTGGCCTGCATTATTCAATGATGTATATTCTAGAAGAAGTATAAATATTAAATTATTATAATACTCATTATAATTTTAAAAACTATTAGATATACTGGAAAAATTTAACAAAGTAGCAGATATAATCAAAGATTCTAATTCAGAGGGTTAACAATGAAACAGATTGACTAACTTCTTTTAAATGTGAATTAATAACCACATAAAAAATAGACAAGACAGTCTCATAAAATTTCCAAGAAACATAAAAAATAAAGTTATCCAAAATTCCTAATCAAAAAGTCTTAAAGACTATAATAACCATAATTTATGTTGAACCTAGATTAAAAATGCTTCCAAAATAAATTGTAAAAAGTTAATGACATGGTTTAGATATTAGGTAACCGCCCCCCCCCCCCAAACTCACATGTACAATGCAAGAAAGCTTAGAGGTGAAATGATTGGGTTATTAGTTTTAACCTAATTAGTGTCATTAATCCCGGGACAGGGATAAACTGGGTGTTAACTACAGGCAGGTGGGGTATGGCTAGAGGAACTGGGTTGATGGGAACATGCTTTTGGGGTTTATATTTTGTCCCTGGTAAGGGAGGTTCTCTCTGCTTCCTGGTCCCTTGTCCCCAGCTACTTTCTTCTGCCACATACTTCTGCTATGATGTTCTGCCTCACCTCAGGACCCAAGAAATGGAGTCGGACATATATGGACTGAGACATCTAAAACTGTGAGCTACCAGATAAACTTTCCTTCTCCAAAATTGTTCTTGTCAGGTCTTTTGGTCACAGCAGCAGAAAAGCTAACTAAAACAGTGGTACCTTCACACAACATAACATCTTCTGTCAATAAAAATGATCAAACTACCAATACATGCTACTTCATGTATTAATCTAAAAAATTAAGCTAAATGAGAGAAGCAGGCACAAGAGACCACATATTATATGATTTCATTTAAATAAATGTCCAGAAAAAGCAAATTTAGAGAGACAAAGATTAATGGCTTCCTTGAGTTGGAGGTGAGGTGGGGACTAACTATAAAAAGGCATAAATGATCTTACTGAAGCAATGAAAATATTCTAAAACTGATTTATGTTATGATTATACTACTCTGTTAAAGATACTAAAAATCACTGAAATGAGTGAGATATACCTCAATAAAGTTGTTTTTAAAAAAAGTTAATGACAATGACTCTATGAAGTCAGCTACAAATGAGGAAGCACAAACTGGTCTCTAGTAGAAAAACCAAGATACCCAAATGCACACAAATGATCCCAGAGGAGACCAGCAGAATAAATGGCTAGCCAAACCACAAAATCATTTTGAGCTCTGGCTCCCACTTACCTTCACTGTCCATACCCTGTGAAGTTTTTCAACAGAATCCAATAGATCTGGCAGGAAGAACTGATTTTGTTCTAATTAGGAACTATTTTTATGAACTATTTCAATCAATGATCCTGAAAAAAAATCATCTAAGTTCACTCTCTGTGTTCTGCAATAAGAATATAAAGCAGAAGATCTCATTCCATAGACAGCTGTCTAACTATGAACCTATGGCAGTTAATAAGCAGTATAGACTTTTATAGTTGAAGAAAACTGACAATAAGAGTATAGACACCAAAACCCAGAGGACATAATCAAGGTTATAAGCAAAAAAAGTCACAGCTTTAGATATTTATCATTAAATAAAACTGGAAATAAATGAATTAAGAAAAGAGGGGCTGGGGTTGTGGCTCAGTGGTAGGGTACAAACCTAGCACATGTGAGGCACTGGGTTTGATCTTCAGCACCACATTAAAATAAATAAATAAATAGATAAGGTATTGTGTTCATCTACAACTAAAAAATGTATTTTAAAAAAGAATTCAGAAAAGAACTAAAGATAAACCAAAAAAGTTGATAATAAAATTATTTAGGAGAAAAACAGAAGCAATCAATTAAACAATAGTCAAAATAAATCAAGCCCTATTCTCTGAAAAGATGAACAAAAATAGATAAATATCAGAAATCTAAGAACTGAAACAAAAATTATCAACTAAAAAAGGAGCACCTTGCCAGGAATGGTGGCACACACCTGTACTCCCAGTAATTAGGGAATCTGAGGCAGGAGGATCACTTGAGCCCAGGAAGTTGGGTCCACCCCGGCAACACAGTGACAATCCATTTATTTCTTTAAAAACAAAACAAAAAAAATTTAAACCAAGAAAAGGAGTACCTTAACAAGAGATAAAGAGGTACTTTTTTAAAAAAATTGAGATTGCTGTATACACCTTTGATGGATCATTTTACAACAATAAAAACAGACACATTACTAAGAAAAGATTTTAAAAAGACTCATAGGTGAACAGAGACCCAACCACAGGAAAATTTTCAAAGGCTGAAGATATAGCCTGTATCAATTTTTTTCCAAACCATCTTGGACCACAGAGAAATGGTGACAGGCAAACTTCAAACCTAATAGAAGAAATAACAGCAGGGCATGGTGGTGCACACTGGTAATCCCAGAGGCCAGATAGGCTGAGATAGGAGGATTTTGAGTTGAAAGTCAGCCTCAGCAAGGGTGAGGTGCTAAGTAACTCAGTGAGACCCTGTCTCTAAATAAAATACAAAATAGGGTTGGGGATGTGGCTCAGTGGTTGAGAGCCCCTGAGTTCAATCCCCGGTACCCACCCCCACCCCCACCCCCAAGAAGAAAAAAAAGGAAAGAACATCATCACAGCAGGAACAACAATTTCTCTCAGCATCTCTGAATGCCTACCATGTACCAGGCTGAACTAGTAAATAGTGAAATAAATGTTGCCCTATGGCACTCATTCTTCAGGCAGGACACAAGAAATAAAGTAGTAAGTAAAATACACAGTAGGTTAGATGATGAAAATGCAATGGACAAAAGCAAAGTATACAAGGAATGAGGGAATACTGATTTACCTGGGTATACATTTCAAGTGAATGGAGGAGGGGTATGACTTGAAGTACGGTAGCCAAGGAACATTTTTCTGATAAGGTGAGACTTGCAAAAAAACAACTAAAGAAACAGAAGGAAGGAGCCATGCAGACACCTAGCAAGTCAGGAGGCTTCTCTAATAATCTAGGCAAGAGATGATGATGTCTGGGAGCACACTGACTGCAGCAGAGAAGGTTGATTAGATCCTGGATCTATTAGTTAGGACTGAGAAGATTTGTCTTACTGGAATGGATAGGAATGTGAGAAAACAGAATCAAGAATACCTCCCAAGAGTTTTACACATGCTAATTCTGAGATATTTATTAGACATTCAAATAGAGATAGAGGTCTGGAGATCAGTGAGATCATCTAGAGCTGTACTGACCAGTAGCCTTATATGGTTAATGAGTACTTGAAATGGGCAAATCTAAATTGAAATGTGCTATAAGTATAAAACATATACTAGATTTTGAAGACTTAATATGAAAAGAACAAAATCTCATTAACATATTTTACCTAAATACACGTTAAAACAATAATAATTTCATATACTTGGTTAAATGAAACACTAAAACTAATTCTACCTATATATTTTTCGTTTGTTAATGTGTACTAAAAAATTAAAAATCACACACATTGTTTGCATTATGTTTCTTCTGGATTAACACTGATTTAGTGATCAAAATAAATCTATGAGCCTGAATGTAATCATTATCTAATTGAAAAAGAAACAAAGAAGAGACCCAAGAATTAGGTGCCAAGGCATTCCAAAGTTAAAAAAAGCTGAAAAGAAGAACAAAGGACACTGAGAAAGACCAGTAAGTATAGTTATGGTATACTGGAAGACAAGTGAAAAGGCTATTTGAAGAAGGTGGAGATAATTAAAACAATGAGTTGAGGGCTCACTCTGAACTGAACCTGGCAACCTAGAAGTCATTTACAACCTACAAAACTGATTCGGTTAAATGATGGTGATGAATGCGTGTTTGGAGTAAGTAGATTCACAAGAAAAGAACTGGAGAAAATGATTATACATAATTGATCCAATTTTTTTTTCTGTGAAGGAAAAGAAATAATTAAGAAGATGGGGGAGATAAGTAAAGAATTTAAAAATAATTAAAACCATGAACAAAATGAACTGATAAACCAAGGAAAGATAATTTTAAATATACTGCATAAAGTACTCATGCAAATTAAAATATATCCAGAGAAAAACATTCACAAACGGGGACTGAGCAATTATATGACTGTAAGAATCATAGTCATGTGCTGTAAAACAATATCTTGGTCAACAACAGACAACATAACATCATGGTAATTCCATAAGATATCACCTACTTATGTGCAGATAGTACATACACACACATACACACTCAATGATGTTCGAATGATGAAGTTGTCTAATGACACATTTCTTAGGACATAGTCCTGTCACCAAGAAATGCGTGATGCAGTGGCACAGGCCTGTAATCTGAGATGCTCTAGAAACTGAGGCAGGAGGATTACAAGTCTGAGGTCACCCCAAGGAATTCAGTGAAATGTTGTCTCAAAAAATGTAAAGGGCTGGGGATGTAACTTGGTAGAATAGCGCTTATCTAGCATGTGCATGGGCCTGAGTTCAATCTCCAGTATAAAAATAAACTGAGGGGCTGGGGTTGTGGCTCAGCAGTAGAGTGCTCATCTAGCATGTGTGAGGGGCTGGGTGCAATCCTCAGCACCACATAAGAATTAATTAATTAATGGCATTGTGTCCAACTACAACTTAAAAAATATAAAAAAAAAAAAACTGAAATGAATTTTAAAAAAATGGCTGGGGATGATGCTTAGCCATAGAGTACTTGTCCAGCATGCTCCTGGTCTTGGCTTGATCCCCATTACAGCACAAAACAAAAACAAAAAATGCACAACTACATATTAAAAGATGGATAAGCCGGGCGTGCCAGTGCACGCCTGTAATCCCAGCAGCTCAGGAGGCTTAGGCAAGAGGACTGCAAGTTCAAAGCCAGCCTCAGCAACTCTGCAAGACCCTATGTCTAAAAGGCTGGGGAGGTGGCTCAATGGTCCTGAGTTCAGTCTGGGGTACCAAGAAACAAACAAACAAACAAAAACAACCACCTTAGCATTATCACAATGCAAATTGGAATGGGTGCATTTTTGTCTATCAGACTTGCAAAGGCTGATCAAGACCACTGAAATGGGCATTCTCACGCCGGGAGAATTCAGACTGCCCTGCCCTTCTGAAGGGTGCCTTTGCAGTGTCAAGATTTAAGCGCGCGTGTCCCCGGCCTGGACGAAGCACATTCTAGCCATGTTCTGGTGGGAGAAGAGCGGGGCAGCCCAGACAGAAATTCCGCTCCCGGGCGCGCCCACCTCCGCGCCCCTGGGCCAACTCACCCGGGAACCCCTGTGGCACCACCGGCCCGGGCTCCTCCGGTTCTGCCCGCGGGCGCCCAAGTCCTCCCACCCGGCGCCCTTTCCACCTGGCGGTTTCCCCCCGGGCGGGCCGGCGTCCGCCTCTATCCTCTAAGGCGCCACCGGCTGAGCCCGGCCCGCCGCCCCGCACTCCCGAGGTCCCCCGGCTCGTCCCGCGCCCAGGCCTGTCGCACCTCCGGCGCGGCCGTCGCCGCCACGACGCGTGGGGACCCAGCTCTCGGCTGCTGCCTCAGAGCGATTGACTTCTGGGCGCCGCGGTGCCCGTTGGGTAACGGCCGCCTGCGGCCCGCCCACCGCTTGGCAAAGCGCCCTGCTATTGGTCGGCGCGAACAGGGCAGCGCCGTGATTGGCCCGGCATGCGGGCGCGAGAGAGCGGGAAGGAAACTGCCGACTTGGCTTCCAGCCTCGTGGGGGACCAGGAAGGTCTGGGCCTCTAGCTTTCCTGCCTCGCCGCTCAACACCCTCGTGGGACTGCACGCTCTGTGGGCAGAAGTCAAACTGCCTGGCGACCTCTCTCGCGGTGGCTACACGGCCACGCCTCCCGACCTGGGAGTCCCAGAGCTGGCTTCTAGAAGCCCCATGGGCAGGGTGCAGTCGAGGGCCAGGTGCGGGCCCTTGCCCTGGGTGCATAATTGAAGGGGGACACCCCAAACTCAGCCGTCAAAACAGATGACACTTCCCTGCAATCGTTTAAAAAAGTCAGAGGCAACGAAACTAAATCCGAGATGAGTAAAACCTCCAAATTGGTGATCACAATTCTTTCCTGGTCTCTACAATAGCTCCACAGAGCAGTTGCTGATGTTGTCTCTAAACTGGGGTGTTTTGTTCATCGTGGGGGAATATATTTTATTTTTTTGGTACAGGGTATTAAACCCAGGGGCACCCAACCACTGAATCACACCCCCAGCCCTATTTTGCATTTTATTTAGAGACAGGGTCTCACTGAGTTGCTTAGCACCTCCTGGTTGCTGAGGCTGGCT